AAAAAAAACAACCTTTAAAAAAACCTAAAATCACTTAGCCTCAACCACAAAAATCTAGGATTTAGTTTTCTTGCTTTTGGGTTAGTAAATCAATATATCATATGGTTTATAGGTTGATAGTATTTGGAAGTGGTTTTTGGGAGAGTTTAAAGCTTGATTTAGGGATTTAGTGGTTGAATTGGAGTTGAGGGAGTGATTGGCTTTGTGATGGTCACCATTTGGGGGATGGATAGTTAAGTTTCAAGGTGCTTAGGGTTTCAGCAGAGGAAGGCATTGGTTGCATTTAAAAAGAGGTAAGGGAAATGAGTGGAATGTTTGTTATACCTAGGGTTACTCTGTCCTTAAAATGTTGTAGTATAAGTTAAAGGAAGGAGGAAGCAAGAAGGCTACTAAATGATAATGTTTTGAGCAAAAAGGTCGGACTAAAGTAAGTGTCATGGCCTATAATATTAGATATTAAGCCTTATGGATTATTGGGTTGAATGTTGGTTGTTTTAAATATTTGCTTTGTGGGTTAGCAAATCAATGTATCATATGATAAGTGGTAAAAAGTGTAAGAAAAGTAATAACAGTAGTTTGCAATGTAAAGCAATATAAAAAATATAGGTTTCTACATATATATATTCATAAGTAATGCTATGGGTATTAATATATAAAAAATTTAGTAATAATAATAACAATGAAGGATAGTTTAAATTAGTTAATAGAAAATAAAATATTATTAGCTTAGAAATTGAATTATAGAATATTCATAATTAGAAAAAAATAGGATGTTTATGCTTAAAGGAAATATAGTAACATAAGAAATATATTATTTGGGTTATATCAATGATAGAATTTTTACCTAGGACATAAGAAGTTACTATCTCGGATTAATTTTCTTAAGTGAGAGATTTAACTAAAGCTTTATTAGTATGATGGGAGGGCTGTAGTTTTTAAGTCTCAACATTTTAGTCCAAGTAATATTTTAAATTAGTAAGATAAAAATATAGGAAATTGTTAGTTTAAAATAGAAACATAGAATATTTATATCTAAAGAAACAAATAAAAAATAAAATAAAATACAAAAGTTCTAAGATAATGAAGTAAGCGATGGTACAAAATATATTATTTGGATTACACCGAAGAAGGAATTTTTACCCAAGACGTGAGAAGTCGCAATCTCGGGTTAATTTACTTAGGTGAGAGATTTGATTTAAACTCTACCGATATGGTGAGAGGGTTTTAATTTTAAGTCTCAATATCTTAATTCAAATAAAATATTTTTTAAATATTAATAAAGGATATTAAAAAATGAAAAATAATAATAACAATCCTAGATATATGATATAAAAGATGATATATATTGAAATTTATTTCATGTCACCATCACATTGTTTACTTGTCATTGCATCCATTTGGATATGTTTTGTACATGAGTTGAGGCCTCGATGATAAGACTTTTCAAGAAAGTTTGCGAAGGTTAGTTCTCTTGAAAAATTTTCTAGGGGAAAGAATATCTTCGAGTCCCACTAGTATGATGGAAGGACTCGTAAAATGTTCTTAATAAGAGGTCTTTACTTTTATTAAGGTTTTCATTATATGAAAACTTTTTTACCTGCAAATGTTTGCCTTAATAATAGGATTTTTGTGATAAGCTTACGAAGACAAATTTTCTTAAGTAAATCCCTAGGTGAGAGAGTATATCTAGGTCCCACCAGTATAATGGTTGAATTCGGGAAAATATTCTTAATAAAAGGTATTCATTTGACATTTATTGAGATATATACCATATATTTCATACTTGCATCATGTGCAAATCATACAAATAAATTGAATAAAGGACTTTAGGACATGAATGAAATTGAAAATAAAGTAATGAATAATGATTAAGGAAATATAAGAATAAAATTAAAAATTAAGATTAAAATAAGATAAGATTAAATGGTATTGTTAGTGAAACGAGCATCACAGGGTACTAATCTTTCCCTGTACATAATTATACTCTCGAACCCAATTTTAAAATTCATAGACTAGGTTTTTGTTCTTTAAACGAATCTAAAATCAATTTAGAACCGTGCTTAATAGAACAAATTTAATAGATGACCAATTATGCATTATAAAAAAAGTAGTGATGACTCCTATACTTTCTTGTTGAGGTAGATGCTCAGACCCGCACGTAGCAATAATAGGTTTCTACTAAAATGACTTAATGCTTGATGCACAAAGGACTTATAAACATGAAAAATCACAAGGTATACTTTGTTTTATGACAAGAAAGCATCTAATAGATTGTTCGTAATGCACACGTACTCTTTCGTAGGTTTTTGTAAGAGTAACCAAGCGTTTGATGTGAGATGAACTTATAAATATGTAAAACCATAATAAGTAGGTGAATTTATGTCAACAGAAAGCATATATTTCGTGTTTCTCAATACAATTATTCAACATTGATAAGTTTTACGTGAAAATAACAAAGTGTTTATTGTGGATGAATCTACAAACACATAAACTCAAATGAAGATTTGGTTCCACGCAAAATAAAAGCATCTATTTCTTGTTTTTCAGGCAAACTTTCTATTTCCATAAGTTTTTTTTTTTATAATAACGAAGTTTTTCTTGTGGGACAAAATATAACCATGTAATACCCCCAAGAAATAAGTGGTTTTGTGTGAAAGGAAAGCAACTACTTCATAAATCCCAATGCAAACTTGCTATATCAATTGGTATTCTGTAATAATGAGGAAGTGTTTCTTGTGGCATGAACTTAAAACCATGTAAAGCCATAAGGAAGAAGTGGTTTTGTGTAAAGTAAAATAATATATTTTACATATTTGAATGTAAACTTTCTGTTTGATAAATTTTCCATGAAAAAGATCAAAATATTTTATGTGGGAGTACTTATAATCATGTAAAATCAAAATGAATACTTGGTCCTGTGGGAAGGAAAACCATCTATTGCAATTTCCCATACAAACTTATTATTTTGATAGATTTTTCACAAAAATAACAAGGTGTTGAATGTGGGAAGAACTTATATACATGTAAAATGACAAGGAATACTTGGTTGTGTGAAGGAAAAGTATCTATTATATGCTTTCAAAAGCAAACCTTTTGTTTTGATAGTTTTCTTTAGCAAAATTTGCATAGTGTTTGATGCAGGTGGAACTTATATACTTGAAAACTTATAAGAATTACTTGATTTTGTGCAAAAGAAACACATCTATTACATCGTTTTCAAAGTAAACACTTTACATTGACAGGTTTTTTGTTATAACAACAATGTCTTTCTTATGGGATGAACCTATAAATATATAAATTTACAAGAAAGAAATGTTTTGACAAACTAAAAGCATATATTTTACGTTTTTCTAAGCAGAATATCTATTTTGATAAATTTTTCTTGTTAATAACAAAGTATTTGATGCTGGTGCAACTTATATATTTATAAAATCATATGAAATCCATGGTTAATACACGTTTTGCAATACAAATTTATTATTTTGATAAGTGTTTTTTTTTAAGAAATAATATAGTGTTTGATCTAAGAATGTCTGTTAAGATATCAAAGTGTTTGACTTAGGAATTATGAGCATGTTGAATGACAAGAAATAGTTGGTTTTTAACCATTAAAATCATCTTAATTATAATTATAATTATAAAAAAAAATCATCTTAATTATTGTTGTGGTTATAATTGAGATACATATAACAACAGGCTTAAATAACCTTGTCCCAATAAAAAAGAAAATCAATATTTTGTACTCTTACTAATTTAAAAGTTGTTGACCATTATCTATACATGTACTTCTAAATTATTATAACATAGCATGCACACGTGATCGTTTATTTAATTAAAAAATATTATAAATAAAATAAAATCAGATCATATCATATAACATAATATATGTATACTTTATTTGGAGATGTAAATCTAAATCATATGATATGATTTAATTTTATTTTCAAATAAAAAAAATAATATATATATTATGATATATGTCTGAATATGTTGAAACTATTACATTTTGTTATTAAATAAGATTATGTATCAATTGAAAATATTTTCTTTTCTATATTATAGTGGTATAAGTTTTCTTCAAATTTGACTTCATTGGATGATAGAAACACTTGAACCTGTGATGTATCTGATGAACTTTTATTTTCATCAATTCACCAAAGTTTGGTGTGATTAAATGATTATTTCTTCATTTACATATCACAAACCCCTTTTTCTTTTCTTGCAACGTAAGCCACACATGAAACCTCACCGAGAATAAGTTCATCGTGGCTTCTTTACAACCAAGCACCAGAAAGTAGACCTGTACACCAATGGAAACAGATTCGACCCTGTTCAAGATTATTATAATATTCGATACGAATTTGAGTTCTAACGTCAATTTGGCCCAATCCAACCCTACTCAGAGACCTCTACTACCATAAATGCTACAATAAAGCTGACGAGTTCCAACAGAGTTACTGAGTACAATGTCAACCCAGACCATCCAATCCAGCTCCATTTCTGATCCATTCAAACGCCTTCAAATCACCCTTAACCCCGATGGAACGCTAACTCGCCTTAACAATTTTGGTAGAACTCCAGCTAAACCAGAATCTTCCGATGACTCCACAGCGGTTCTCTCTAGGGACATCCCCATCAACTACTCAAACAAGACTTGGGCTCGAATTTTCCTACCCAAGCAAGCCCTTGATCACAGTTCCCCATCCGCTGAAAAGCTGCCGGTTTTGGTGCACTTCCATGGTGGAGGGTTCATTCTTTTCAGTCCAGATGAAACCACGTCTCATGAATTTTGTTCCAATATGGCTAGTGAACTCTCTGTTATCGTCGTATCAGCTAGCTACCGCCTGGCTCCAGAGCATCGGTTGCCAGCGGCATACGATGATGCCATGGAAGCATTGTCCTGGATCAAAACCAGCCATGACAATTGGTTGGAAAATTATGCTGATTTCTCCCAGATTTTCTTGATGGGTGGTAGTGCAGGTGGGAACATTGCGTATCATTTAGGACTACGTGCAGCTGAACAAGCTGACAGTCTTTCGCCATTGAAGATCAAAGGGCTAATCTTGCACCAATCTTTCTTTGGTGGGGTCGAAAGGACTGAATCAGAGTTCAGGTCAATTAATGATCCCATGTTTTCTCCATGCGATAGCGACTTGATGTGGGAGTTATCCTTGCCTATTGGCGTTAACCGTGACCATGAGTACTGCAATCCAACAGTAGCCCATGGATCTACAGCTTTGGAGAAGATCAAGAGGCTAGGATGGAGGGTATTTGTCACCGGGTGCGATGGGGATCATTTGATAGACCGTCAAATTGAGTTGGTGAAGATGATGAAGAAGAAGGAAATTCGAGTGGTAAGTCGTTTTGTTGAAGGGGGTTTCCATGGGTTTGAACTTGCTGATCCCTCCAAAGCTAAGGCCCTGTATGTTGTCTTAAAAAATTTCATATTCTCTTCAACATAAGTTCTGATAATTAGGCAAAGGATAGGGGGAGCTGTTTGAGTGTGATGCCAGCCAAATGGAAAAAATAAGAAAGAATAAAGATAATAATAAAAGAGAGAGGGGATCTTGGCACTTGTTGACGGCCAAACAAGATTTTCATTTTATTTCTTAATATAACTATTATATATGTTATAACTCTCTTATGTTTTTTTAAGTAAATTATGTCGACATTGCTTCCAGTATTAGTTTGCTGCCATTTACTCTCTTGCCATCCCCTTGATCAGATTGGTGTTGTGATTTACAAGCATCAATTCATTAACCCAAAAAATCTTGTCCAGGATGCATTGTTCGTTGACTTTGTAAATAGGTATACTATTTGGTCAAATTGCTGTCCTGGTTTTGTGGCAGTACATATAAAATAAATATATTCACATTTTACTTTAATTGATGTTAATCAGTCTAATCAAATTGAGTTTAAATAGTTAGATTGTTATTCAAGTGGAGCTCACATATGTTAAAAAAAAAAAAAAACTGCTCGCCTCAGCTTGAGGTTTGAGTTTTTTAATTGAGCCAAGCTTTAGCCTATCACTTACATGCAATTGTTTATATGAAATCTCTCATTATTTTAAGCCTATCTTCTTATCGGCCATCAAAGTCTGTAAGAGTTACATCATTCACCGAAAATCTATCTTCATTATTTGGGAAGGAGTCAGCATCTTGGTTAATTTGTCTTTCAGTGAAAGCAGGTTGTTTTGGAGGAGGAAGATCCACAATCTCACTGTTAAGCATTGAAACTACTCTTGACATTGTAGGCCTATCTTTAGCAAATTCTTGAACGCATAACAATCCCACATGTATGCATCTCAAAATTTCTTTCTCATCATAGCTCGGGTCAGAAGCCTCCATGTCTACTAAACCTAAAATGTTGTCCTCCTTCCACAATTTCCATGCCTGAAAAGATAAAAGATTGAGATAACTGTATTAGACATTTCAAAATTAGCACTAATTGGGGAATAATATGAGGCAATCATTATGTAGGCTTACATATCCCAAAAGGCTAAAAGAATGCTGATTGTCGTAAAAGCTTGTGTTTTTTCTTCTGCTAACAATCTCTAGCAATATAACTCCAAAGCTGAATACATCGGATTTCTCTGAAAATTGTCCTTGCATTGCATACTCGGGAGACATATAACCACTATATTTTAACATCAAAATAACACCATTTATACCATATTTTACGCACTAAGTGTACTAGTAATGTTTTAAGAAAAAGAAAAATTAGTTGATGACAGAAACTTCAACTTACTAAGTTCCCATCACCCTTTTAGTTTTGGCTTGATTTTCATTCCCTCCAAAAATCCTTGCTATCCCAAAATCTGAAATTTTTGGATTTAACTCTTGATCCAGTAAAATATTACTCGTTTTTAGATCTCTATGTATAATCCTCAATCTTGAATCTCTATGAAGATAAAGTAAACCCCGGCTAATTCCTTCAATAATATTGAAGCGTTTATTCCAATCCAAGACTTCTTGTTTGATTGGATCTAAAAAAAAAAAATGATAAAACCAAAATTAACCATGTATTGCTATAGCCAAATCACTAAAACAAAGTTGATCAATTAATTTTTATAAGGGATTTGTCTTGAACATATTCTGATGCATAATAAACGCGTATGGCTGCATGATTCTATAAAGGAAAATGATTAAAAAGGGATTAGCATGTTCTAACCGAAGAGAAAAGCATCCAAGCTTTTGTTGGGCATATACTCATAGACTAGCATGTTCTCTTCTCCTTCAACACGGCAGCCAAGTAATCTAACAAGATTTCGATGTTGGAGTTTAGAAATCACCACCACCTCATTCATAAATTCTTCTAATCCCTGGCCAGAGGCTCTTGACAATCTCTTCACTGCTATTTCCTTTCCATCTTGTAATGTTCCCTGGACAGAAAAATTAGCTCGGTTAGTAAACTTTTGCATTTTTTGTCAAACTTCAGCAACGTCGTAGAAAGTCATTCAGGAGACAATAATATATTTGCTGAACATGGACGAGGACTCTGTATACTGGACCGAAACCACCCTCTCCCAACATTTTTGTGACATGAAAGTCGTTTGTTGCAGTTGCTAGTTCCTCAAAATTGAATAGCGGTAGCTGCTGGAGTTTGACTTCAATTAAATTTTCTCCAACCACGTCATCAATAGAAAATTTGTCCACGGCTTTTCCGATGTTGAATAGCAGCTTCTCTTTGATTTTCTGTTTCCTGCCTGAGATGGAAACAGTGAGAAGCATTGAATTGACAGTTGACTGTTACGTAAAAGAACTGTCTTCCAGTAAAGATGATTATAGCAACAATGGTCTACGTTTGACATTTGATTGCCAGTAAAGATGGACAGATTACCTCTATATTTAGCCATCCGGCTCCATAAGAAAAATGTAGAGATTGTAAAGATGATTACAACCCCGATCACTGCTACAATAATGATAACTGCACTTATGTCTTTCTTTTTATCTGCAAATTGAGAACAGCAGTGAATTGATTTATATGGACAAAACAGAATAGAGAAGATTCCAACTCTTCACAGGATACAGAGAACATCAAACTTTTAACTTCTAGCATTTGTGTAACAAATAACGGATTGAAATTAAAACAAATTACCAAGTTCTGAAGATGCCATACGAATGTAAAGATCCACTCCACTTCTGGAGTATTTCTGGATGTCAATTAAATCCCCGCTCCACAGCATACAACCAATGCCAGCGTCATATGCATAAGCCACACATGAACAGTTTTTCAAGCATTGATCTTCGCAGTTACCGTTAAGTGCAGATGACCACTCTGGAAAGGCTGGCACTTTCATCATCTCTAGCTTCAAAAACCC